AGAGAGGCAGGTGTTGGCCTCTTCTCCCAAAGGACGAACGACAAGACCAGAGGAAATGGTCTGAAGTTGGGGCAGGGGAGATTTAGATTAGATATTAGAAAGAACTACTTTACTGAGAGAGTGGTCAGGCCCTGGAACAGCCTGCCCAGGGAGGTGGTGGAGTCACCATCCCTGGAGGGATTTAAGAAACGTATAGACATGGCTCTTCAGGGCATGCTCTAGTGCCCAAGGTTATTGGTTTATGGTGAGGTGTTGAGTGTGGGGTTTAGTTGGTGGGTGCGGTGTTTTTGGTGGGCGTTTGGTGTGGTGTGTTTTGTTTTGGGTTTTTTTTGTTGTTTGTTTTTGTTTTGGTTTTTTTTTTGTGGTTGGACTCGATGATCTCAGAGGTCCCTTCCAACCACTAAGATTCTGTGATTCTGTGACTTGTTGTTACCTATGATGGAATCACTTGCCTGTACCCCTATGGATGGCATTGGTTATTTGTCATATTCTGACAGAAAGAGCAAAATTGCTGTGAAACTACACCCTTATTGAGACATGTTCTTCCCCTTTCACAAAGGGGTAAATTATTACATCGTTCGCTATGGAGTGGCTGAAAACATTAGTGGTTACCACAGGAAACTTATGAATTTTAAGGTCTAGCTTTAGTTCCTTTCACTGCAGCTTGTCGACCTGAGACTCAGCTACAGAACTATTAGTGGTTTGATTTTTGGGGAAGTTCTTTTTGGCCGTGTTGCAGGGAGGAGGGGTTTGTGCTTGACACTTGGATCTTCTGAGTTCATTTACATAGCCCAGTGGAACTCCAGTGTAAATTACTGCTCAGTGTGGAAGTGTAGTGTGGAGCAGCTGGTCTGTGCAGTCTCCTACTGCCTCACACACCCAGGCTAGCAAAGAGATTCATTGCTCTGTCACAGAGTATTGTAGAACAGTTTGTGTTTGAAGGGACCTTAAAGATCACCCAGTCCTACCCCCTGCTCTGGGCAGGGACACCTCTCACCAGACCAGGTTGCTCCAAGCCCCATCCAGCCTGGCCTTGAACCCCTCCAGGGATGGGGCAGCCACAGCTTCTCTGGGCAACCTCAGCCAGGGTCTCACCACCCTCACAGCAGAGAATTTCTTCCTAATATCTAGTCTAAATCTGCCCTCTTTCAATTTAAAACTATTACCCCTTGTCCTATGGCTCCCCTCCCTGACAAAAGGTCCCTCCCTATCTCTCCTGTAGCCCCTTTAGGGACAAAAAGGGGCTCTAAGATCTTCCTGGAGCACTCTCCAGGCTGAACAAGCTCAGCTCTCTCAGCCTGTCCTCATAGGAGAAGTATTCAAGCCCTTTGATTATTTCAGAACCATCTGATATGCCATGAAGTAGCTAAATTGGGTCACCTCCATCTAGAGAGCCCTGTTATAGGGTGACTCAGGTTTGCCTCCTGGTGTGTAAACATGAGCTTGTTTTACTGACACAGCATCCCTTTTGGATAACTTGAAGTCAGGGATTGAGTAATTGAAGACACTTTAGGGATACTGAAGCAAGAGATGGCTCTGTAGGTGGAAAGACCTTGTTTCTTTTCCTGGGATGCAGGCACTGACAGGGAAACCACCCAGGGAGGTGGTGGAGGCACCATCCCTGGAGGTGTTCAAAAGCCGGGTTGATGTAGTGCTGGGAGGGATGGTTTAGTGATGATGCTCCTTGTTTGTTGTGTGGGTGTCTATTTTTGTCAGTTAGGTTGATGGTTGGACAAGATGATCTTTAAGGTCCCTTCCAACCTAGAAGATTCTGTGATTCTGTAAAAGGTTCATGGCAGCTTGGGCATGGTGCTGGCCTGTAGATGGCTCCAGGTGTTGCCAGCTGCCACAATCTAGATGAAATCAATGAAATACCAAAACTCTTTCTGCACAGAACTCTTCTTCTCTTCCTTAGTGCTCCTGCAAGGGCCGATGTGGAAACAAGCAGTGTGGCTGCAGGAAGCAGAAGGTGGGCTGCACCGAAGGCTGTAGCTGTGACTCTGCAAAATGCAGAAACAGAGACCCCATCTTTCCGGTGAGTAGCGCTGCCCTCGGGGGTGTGAAAGGGCTGCACCCACCATCCAGAGCACACAGTGGAGCTGGGTGAGGGAACTGGGGTTATTCAGCCTGGAGAAGAGGAGGCTGAGGGGAGACCTTATTGCTCTCTACAACTCCCTGAAAGGAGGGTGTAGAGAGGTGGGGGTCGGTCTCTTTTCTCAAGTCACAGGCGACAGGACAAGAGGAAATGGCCTCAAGTTGCACCAGGGGAGGTTCAGGCTGGATATTAGGAAAAATTTGTTCACTGAAAGGGTTATCAGACATTGGAATGGGCTGCCCAGGGAGGTGGTTGAGGCCCCATCCCTGGAGGTGTTCAAAAGCCGGGTTGATGTAGTGCTGGGAGGTATGGTTTAGTGATGGTGATGCTTCTTGTTTGTTGTGTGGGTGTCTATTTTTGTCAGTTAGGTTGATGGTTGGACAAGATGATCTTTAAGGTCCCTTCCAACCTAGAAGATTCTGTGATTCTGTGAATGCCTCACGGTTATGCTGTTAGTGTACCTGCTTTGTCCAGGGAAAGTATATGGACCTTTCTGACCCGTATGGAGATGTCACTGTAATTCAGTGTTTATCCGTGCTAATTGAGCACAAAGTTTGCTGCTGCAGGACCAGGCTCTTGCACTGAATAGAGGAATTTGTGTGATGTCCCGAGTCACAGCAGTTCACCCACTGCCAGTTGCCAGCCATGAATCTGAAGACAAGTTTAAATCTTTCTTTTGCACTTAGTAAAAGAAAATTGCATCTTTGTGCTTCAGGTGGCACAAAAACTTAACTCATTTTCAGATTTTTATTTTTTTTTTTAAAAGAATGGAAGGAATAATTTGGGGAGGGGGTTGTAGCATTAGGAAGGTTCAACAGCAACTGATGGTCATTAAAATTTGTGCTCAAACTGTCTGCATTATTAGTCTTGGATCTTAGAGTTTTGAAGCAGAGACTTTCCATAGTATTTCTTTAATTATTGATTGGTTTGTGCCTCAGTTGCCTGACAGAGGCATGTGGCATCCTGTACTACGAATTACTTTGCAACTGGAGAGAAGGTCTCTTAGGGACCTCTACTATTTCTTCAGCTGTTGGTGGGGAAGAAAGGGATGGATATTGTTGATGTGCTTCAAAGTAGTACTGCCCCACAGGATGCCACGCTTTGCGAGGACCAATCGAGGGACTCTGAAGGTTCCTCCAAACTTGAAGATTCCACTGGAGCAACTGTAGCAGAGACCTTTTTTAAGCCTGTCACGCAGCCTACAAAGGTACCGCCTAAAGTCGTAAGAAAGAATAGTGGTTCTGAATGTGTGTGCACCTTGTTTGTGGCTAGTGATGGATCTTAAAGAAGGGGAAAACCCCAATAAACCCAAAATGATAGGCTGCTGCTAGAAAATCCTGAATTCTGGACACACTACAGCTGTCAAGGCAGCTTGTATTTGAGTCTAAATGCTTCAGTTTTCATACTAAAACTTTGCCACGTGGGCTTGTCATGCTCTCCTGCTGCACTTCCTAGAGTCTTTCCAGAGACAGACTGGTAACTGAGGAGCTCATAGGACAAAATCATGCCTGCCTGTGCCCAAACTTACTGTTCTTAAGGCATTGTGTGCTCTGACTTGGCAGCTGTAACTTTGCCTCAGCTAAAGAATTCCCTTCTCTTGTACCCTCTGCACCCTATTCCCAAATGCTGTCTCTTCCTGCTCAGCCCAGGAATTTGTCCTTTGTGTTTTGACTTGAGTAAAGAAATTGGCCCAGCAACTTCTGTATGTGCAACCTCCAAGCTCCAGTGTGAGCTGGGGAGCTTCTTCAGGCCACCAACCCACTCCAAAAAATTGTCTTCCTTGCCTTTTTTGATAGGTCTTGAAAGATATCACAGGCCAAGAAGTCTTCATGAAGAAGCCGGGCGCTCCCTCTTCCCTGCCCGTGAGCGATGAGGAACTTCAGGAGAACCAGATGCTGTTTGTGAAGCGGAAGAAGAGAATGCTGATGAGCAACACCAGCTTCTTTGCAGGTTGTACCCCCATTAAAGAGGCCTGACTGAGGAGCCCAGGAGATGCCCTGTGCCTGAGTGGTGCTGTGCTTCTTTCGACCGCCTCGCTGGTGACTTTTTAACATGTTGAGGTCTCTCGCTGAGGCAAAGACCTGATGACTCTCAAGCCTGACAGCTTCTGGCACCAGCAAGGAAGTCAAACACTAGTTCTTGCTAGATTGTCTGATTTATTGTAAAAATTTGTATGTGTGGGTCCTCAGCCCCGAGAGTAAGAAACTATTTCCTCTGGTATGTCTGCTTTTTATCCGCGTTTCTCATTCCAGCTGCCTTCCTCCTCCTCCTGAGCTGTGAACCTCTTGGGTACAGTTTAATGCATAATCTTGAAAGAACTTTGTATTTGCACTGGAAATCTGGGCACTGTCCAGTCCCATACAGCATCAGCTGCCCTGTGAGATCCACTGGTGCCTGATCTTGAGGAGGCCCTGGATGTAGTCTTAACTGAACTACCAGATATGAAATGGTTGTTGTTTCTCTATCACTGTTGAATGAAGTTCCAAAACTTTCTAGCCCTATTGTGAATGTCGTAGTAATTTTATATGATTTAATAAACTAGTTTGCAAAAACCCCCAACTTCTTAATTTTACATCGCTTACAATGAACCACAGAGGGATCTCTGCAATTAAAATTGGATTTGAGCTTGTTCCAGCAGTTGCCAGGAGGACAGGTTTGTGTCTTACTCAAAAAGTAGGCAGCCTAACAGCTCCTCCTGCTTTCCTTTCCACTCCACCCCCCTCCTAGACATGATTTTTGAGCTCCAGCTCCTAGTCCTGTTTTCGAGCTCCTCTCTGATGGTGCTGTGTTAGCACCATCCCCTCCCTGAGCTTTGAGAGCACTTGTTGTTTATCTTGGGCTTGCTGTGATACTAAGGATGCTGCAGAAGATGAGCATATTGCTGAGGAGATCAGCTGCAGTGGAGGCAAGTGGTGCAAAAAAAACCCATAAAAGGACCTGGTCTAGTTGGGGGTGTCCCTGCTGACTGCGGGGAGGTCGGACTAGATGACCTTTGGAGGTCCCTTCTGGCCTGGACCATTCTATGATTCTATGCTCTGTTCAGATGTGCCTTTACTAAACATCAAAGGGTAATTAACTGCATGGTTTCTCCTAAATAAAATTAGTAGCAACAGACTGAGTAATGTATCATTCCCTTTGTTCCTCCCCTGAGGCCTGGTTGGAGCAGAGCACGCTGGAGGCACGGCTCATGCTGTGCCTGGCAGTGCTCCTGCTGGTGGAACCACACTGGGAGCTCTGGGGGGCACAGGTAGATGTTGGTACCAACCAAACCAGTTGGTTCTGTTCTACCTCAAAGCAGGACAGCTGTGAAAACTGCCACCCAGGACACAAATCCCACCTAGTCACATATGGCACCATTCCATAAGGAGCTATGAGAGGACTGCTCTTCTAACCTCACTCATCTTTCTACTTTTCAAGCATCCAAAAGTCCCTGGCAGCTTTAAAACGAGCATTTTACAACTCTATAAACAAGCTTGTATCCAGTGAAAGGGCATCCACCTCATCCCAGAGACCTTCCCATCCTTTATGCAGAGGTTTAGAAACCGTGAGTCAGGATTATCTCACAGCTGAAGAACAAAAGACACAGCACAAAGGCAACAACTCTTCCTGCAGGTGAAACAGGAGGTGACAAATGCCTGTGGTTAAAGTGAACTCGTCCTGCTTGTGGCCAACACCTGCTGTGGTTTTGTGCAGACTCACACCTGAGGATTGTTTAGAGACTGGGGTCTGGGCTCATTCTGAGCTAAAAGACTGCCCCAAGCCCAGGAAAAGAGAGGGGGTCAGTGCCCAATATTAAGCTTCACCCCAATGAGGGCTCACTGTACAGAAACATCAGTGCTGACATATAGACTGAGGGGAGGATGGGCTGATAAACACAGTCTGACACTGCAATAGGCTCCTCTGGAGGTGGTGGAGAACATGTTCAAGCATTAAAAAACAGCCACGTAGCCCTTCCAAAAACAAGGCGCAGCTCTTTGAAATAAATAAAGAGCGAATCTTGGCTGGGATTTTACCTCTTTGCTAATTTTTGGGTTGTGGGTGCTGGCGTAGAGGAAACCATGGATTAATGGAACACCAGAGGTCAGCCTCAGTAGGTGTTCTCCAGAAATCCCCTCCTCTCAGAATCACAGAATCTTCTAGGTTGGAAGGGACCTTAAAGATCATCTTGTCCAACTGTCCAACCTAACTGACAAAAATAGACACCCACACAACAAACAAGGAGCATCATCACTAAACCAGACCTCCCAGCACTACATCAACCCGTCTTTCGAACACCTCCAGGGATGGTGCCTCAACCACCTCCCTGGGCAGCCCATTCCAATGGCTGAGAACCCTTTCAGTGAAAAAATTTTTCCTAATATCCAGCCTGAACCTCCTCTGGTGTAACTTGAGGCCATTTCCTCTTGTCCTGTCGCCTGTGACTTGAGAAAAGAGACCGACCCCCACCTCTCTACACCCTCCTTTCAGGGAGTTGTAGAGAGCAATAAGGTCTCCCCTCAGCCTCCTCTTCTCCAGGCTGAATAACCCCAGTTCCCTCAGCCTCTCCTCATAAGACTTGTGCTCCAGACCCCTCACCAGCTTTGTCGCCCTTCTCTGGACCCGCTCCAGCACCTCAATGTCCCTCTTGTGGTAGGGGGCCCAAAACTGGACACAGTACTCGAGGTGGGGCCTCACCAGTGCTGAGTACAGGGGGACCATCCCCTCTCGGGCCCTCTCCCTTTTGTCTGCATTCCTACTGTTGAGCAATAACCTTCACGCCCGCTGGACCTGCCCCGTGTCTACGACTGCCACAACCTCGAAGCAGGAAATGTATTTGGGGGAAGGTTAAAAAAAAAAAAAAAAAAAAAAAAGCTGATATTGCCCAGCTACATCCCACCTCACCCAGGACTGGTGTTTTTGGTGTTGAAATGAGTCTCCGTGACACCACCCGGTGTTTTCTAAAAATCATTTTTACTCACAGGGGGCTGTACAAGCACCTGGCTCACCCGGCTGGAGAGACACCCCCGCGGCTGTCGGAAACAAGGCGGCAGAAGAGACGCGACGACCGCTGTGTGTAAGAGCGACCCGTGCTGCTGCTGAAGCTCAAAAGACATTACAGGACACAGGAAAAGATCCATTGCTTTTTCCTTCTTCCACAGGCAATGATCTCTCTCTCTCACTTCGCACCCAACAGAGTATTTACACGCCCTCACGCTGGTTACAAAGAACTCCCGGCCAAACCCCTCGGACTCAAGGTGAATCACGGCAGAAGGGAAGGGGACAGGAGAGTCTCGTCACAAGTTATCGTAGTCATCATCATCTTCATGCTTCCTCTTCATGGGATTTGCTTCATTAGACGTATTCTGTGATGACACCATATTTGTCGTGATAAGAATGTTCTTCGGGCCGATTAACGAAGGATTAATTAGAACATTCTGAACTGTGGGAGTAGTCGGCGTGGCTGTGAAAAAAAAGAAAGACGTTTTAAAAATGGCAGCTGAATTTCCCCACACTGAAACAGAACTTCCAAGGCAATAAAGCAGTGTGCTACTAAAACATTCCAGGCTGAAAACCCTGGAATGATCCTGAACAAACAAGGAGCATCATCACTAAACCAGACCTCCCAGCACTACATCAACCCGTCTTTCGAACACCTCCAGGGATGGTGCCTCAACCACCTCCCTGGGCAGCCCATTCCAATGGCTGAGAACCCTTTCAGTGAAAAAATTTTTCCTAATATCCAGCCTGAACCTCCTCTGGTGTAACTTGAGGCCATTTCCTCTTGTCCTGTCGCCTGTGACTTGAGAAAAGAGACCGACCCCCACCTCTCTACACCCTCCTTTCAGGGAGTTGTAGAGAGCAATAAGGTCTCCCCTCAGCCTCCTCTTCTCCAGGCTGAATAACCCCAGTTCCCTCAGCCTCTCCTCATAAGACTTGTGCTCCAGACCCCTCACCAGCTTTGTCGCCCTTCTCTGGACCCGCTCCAGCACCTCAATGTCCCTCTTGTGGTAGGGGGCCCAAAACTGGACACAGTACTCGAGGTGGGGCCTCACCAGTGCTGAGTACAGGGGGACCATCACCTCTCGGGCCCTCTCCCTTTTGTCTGCATTCCTACTGTTGAGCAATAACCTTCACGCCCGCTGGACCTGCCCCGTGTCTACGACTGCCACAACCTCGAAGCAGGAAATGTATTTGGGGGAAGGTTAAAAAAAAAAAAAAAAAAGAAAAAGCTGATATTGCCCAGCTACATCCCACCTCACCCAGGACTGGTGTTTTTGGTGTTGAAATGAGTCTCCGTGACACCACCCGGTGTTTTCTAAAAATCATTTTTACTCACAGGGGGCTGTACAAGCACCTGGCTCACCCGGCTGGAGAGACACCCCCGCGGCTGTCGGAAACAAGGCGGCAGAAGAGACGCGACGACCGCTGTGTGTAAGAGCGACCCGTGCTGCTGCTGAAGCTCAAAAGACATTACAGGACACAGGAAAAGATCCATTGCTTTTTCCTTCTTCCACAGGCAATGATCTCTCTCTCTCACTTCGCACCCAACAGAGTATTTACACGCCCTCACGCTGGTTACAAAGAACTCCCGGCCAAACCCCTCGGACTCAAGGTGAATCACGGCAGAAGGGAAGGGGACAGGAGAGTCTCGTCACAAGTTATCGTAGTCATCATCATCTTCATGCTTCCTCTTCATGGGATTTGCTTCATTAGACGTATTCTGTGATGACACCATATTTGTCGTGATAAGAATGTTCTTCGGGCCGATTAACGAAGGATTAATTAGAACATTCTGAACTGTGGGAGTAGTCGGCGTGGCTGTGAAAAAAAAGAAAGACGTTTTAAAAATGGCAGCTGAATTTCCCCACACTGAAACAGAACTTCCAAGGCAATAAAGCAGTGTGCTACTAAAACATTCCAGGCTGAAAACCCTGGAATGATCCTGAAGGGGAAGCAGAGAAGACAAGAAAATGCTGTAAGGGAAATCTGCCTGAAGCACCATATATTCTGGTTGACTCCACCGCGCTAGAAATAGGGATGAAAACTGGAAGTTACTGGAACGACCAGAGAGGGGACTGGCTTTCTCATGTAAGGAGACACAAAAGATTAGCAACGTTAAAAACCAGAAGGAATGAAGTAATTACCCACGTTATTACTATAAATTACAGCTTGTGTTTTACCTGACTTGACGGCTGCCTGAGAGGAGGGGATCTGCACAGTGAACCTCTGCCCCGTCAGCGACACCGGGGTGCCCACTTTTGTCGAGACGGATACTGTTTGAGCTGAAGGGGTGCCTGAAATTCAAAACAACTCAGTCAAAAGATAAATTAAACAAAAAAAAAACAACACTCGCGCTCATATATATTCGCTCTCAAAGAAGAACTTAGTATTTTCAAAGTAGTGGGAACACAAAGCAGAGATTTAGATTAGATATTAAGAAGAAATTCTTTGGTGTGAGGGTGGTGAGAGCCTGGCCCAGGTTGCCCAGAGAAGCTGTGGCTGCCCCATCCCTGGAGGGGTTCAAGGCCAGGTTGGAGGGGGCTTGGAGCAACCTGGTCTGGTGGGAGGTGTCCCCTTAAAGGGAGCTTTAAGGTCCCTTCCAACTCTAACCATTTAATGATACTGGTTATACAGGAGTCAGATTTTCAGGCAGAACCACCCATTTACTCAAGATCTATAAAATTCTAGGCTGCAACCCCACACACTAATACGTCAGTCTACGTCTGCAGCCACAAATTTTGTGAAACTTTTAAAAAATTATTTTATTTAGCACTATTGGTAGTTCAGCACAGTACTTACATTGAGGAAAAAAAAACGTTAATCTTACTAAGTTTCTTGAATGGTGTCCTTACATATAGGAGTTATCACAAATACAGGAATAAAAATACAGAACGTCAGTAATGTATATATGTATCAAAGATTACAAGAATCTTTTTGAAACTAATTTAATTTTTCTGATGCTGCCAAATGATACCAAGCTCAGGTGGCACCCAACTTGTCCTCAGTGGTAAGAATGAGGCTTCAAATTCCTCCTCGTTATTTTTTTTCCTTCATAAAATCAACATGGGAAACCCCAACCAAGCTCTTTAATACCTAAGGTAGGAGTGCTGGGCCGGCTGCTCACAGCGCCAACGCTCAGGCGAGGGACTGTTATTCTTCCTGCAGAGGAAGAGACCTGTCAAGACAGAACACTCAGTTTAGCAGCCCGTTAGAAATTAACAGTTCTTAACGTGAAAAAAAATAATGGTTCTTCCGACAAAACCACCGAGGGCCTATTTCACAGCAACAACACACAATTTGTAGGCCAACACCGAAGTTCTCACAACTAGCACCGAGGCACATCCCATCTCAACACCTGGAACCTTGGGTTCAACTTTTTAGACTCTTTCTTTAAAACGTGGGAAATAAATATGAAATCCTACACACCGAGACATTCAGTATTTTCCAGCAAGCAAAGTAAATCTTTTCTCTTTCTTCTAGAGCAAAAAACAACTAAGGGGTAAGTACAAAATACCCTTCAATATTTATACCAAAGCCTTACTTTCACCTTTTACCGCTTCAAATTGACAATTTGGCTTTAATACCACAAAGACTCACAGATGCATTTCACCCTTTGCATTTGAAACTAGCTAGCAATAAGAATACTTGCAAATCCCTCGAGACAAAAGCCCCTGACCTAGTTTAAAACACTCTTTTAGACACACAGAGGTCACTATTTGCCCATACGTATCCTTCAGAGGGGTGGGAAACTCTTAATTCCAACAACATTCCTGACAAACGATGCGGGCATTAGGTGAACCCTCCCCTACCCAAACCCCTTACCTTCTTCTGCAAGGACTTCAGTCTGTAGTTGGGAGCTGTCAAGCAGTATCTGTCAGGAGGGAGCCTGGGTCCGGAGTAAGGCTTTATCAACGGCAACGGCGTCTGGTTTTTCTGCCTGGCAATATCTAACAAGAACTGAAGAGAGAGGGTTACCTTCCCCCCTGTGGCCTCTTGCTGTGTTCTGTCATAGAATCATAGAATGGTCTAGGTTGGAAGAGACCCTTGGGATCATCGAGTCCAACCATCTCCCCTACTCTACAAAGTCCTCCCCTACACCATGTCCCTCAGCACTGCATCTAAACGGCCCTTAAACACAGCCAGGGATGGGGACTCCACCCCCTCCCTGGGCAGCCTGTTCCAATGCCCTATCACTCTTTCAGTGAAAAATTCTTTCCTAATGTTCAATCTAAACCTACCCTGTTGGAGCTTGAAGCCGTTCCCTCTCGTTCTGTCACTAATTACCTGTGAGAAGAGACCAGCACCAACCTCTCTACAGTGTCCTTTCACATAGTTGTAGAGAGTGATGAGGTCTCCCCTCAGCCTCCTCTTCCTCATACTAAACAGCCCCAACTCCCTCAGCCGCTCCTCATACGATTTGTTTTCCAGCCCCCTCACCAGCTTCGTTGCCCTCCTCTGCACTTGCTCCAGCACCTCCAGATCTCTCTTGTATTGAGGTGCCCAAAACTGGACACAACACTCGAGGTGTGGCCTCCCCAGTGCTGAGTACAGGGGCACAATCACCTCCCTACTTCTGCTGGTCACACTATTTTTGATACAAGCCAGGATGCCATTGGCTTTCTTGCCCCCCTGGGCACACGGCCGGCTCATATTCAGCCCTTTGTCAACTAGAACCCCCAGGTCTCTTTCTTCCAGGCAGCTCCAGCCACACTTCCCCCAGCCTGTAGCGCTGCAGGGGGTTATTGTGGCCCAAGTGCAGGACCTTGCACTTGCCCTTGTTGAAACTCATTCTATTGGCATTGGCCCAGCGATCCAATCTGTCTAGATCCTCTCGCAAAGCTTCCCTATCCTCCTGGGAGTCAACACTCCTGCTTAACTTGGTGTCATCTGCAAACTTGCTGATGTTACACCCTATGCCCTTATCGAGATCATCAATAAAAGACGTTAAACAGAAATGGTCCCAACACTGAGCCTTGAGGCACACCACTTGTGACTGGCTGCCAGCTGGACGTAAATCCATTGAGCACAACTCTTTGGGACCTTCCAGTCAGCCAGTGCTTGATCCAACAGATCGTGTGCTCATCCACTCCGTGTGAAGCCAGTTTTTCCACTAGATTTGTGTGAGGGACCTTACCAACACAGTTTTACTTACGTCTCTGGGAGGCGGGGAGGTAAACGACTGGTCTGTGCGACATTGGATGGCCAACCTCACGTCATCCGCATCCACGCTGGACTTCTTTGCATGGCTCGAGTAAATTTTTGCATCTTCCAGTATAGTTGTCACGTACCCTTGGGGAAAACAGCACCTCTCACTACGGCTGGATTGAAACAAATAAACCTTCCCCCTCCCCATCCCACTCCGCCCTCACCCAAAACACCGCTTCCTCCAGGGTTATTTTTAAAGACTGATAAGGGAAACCCTCCAAGGAAAAACGGCCAAAGACAGCATTTCCCTTCTCCACTCAGCGTTTCCCTCCCCAGGAGCAGCGCCGCTGCCCCTGCCAGGCCCCGCCAGCTCCCCCGGCCCGGCCCGGCCCGGCCCCGCCACCCCTTACTGTAGGCGAACTCCAGCATCTGGTTGATGACGCGCGGCTCGTACTCCGTGATTCCCATGTCCTTCAGGATCTGCGCCATCACCTGCGGGGGCGGAGAAGGCACCGCTCAGCTCCGCCGCCCTCACCCCGACCCGCCCCGGCCCCTCCTGCCCCCCGCGGTACCTGCGCGTCTTTAGGCGCGCTCTTGGGGGACGCCATCTTGGCTGGCTCCATCGCCTCCGCTCGCCTCGGGCGGCCGCTTCCGGTCACGTGACCGGCTACGGGAGCCGGCATGGCGGGCGGGGCGGTGGTTGCCATGGAGACGCGGCCTGGCCGTGGACGGGGGCCGGGGCGGGCACAGGCCGCGGCGGTGCGGAGGCGGTGCGGAGGCGGTGCGGGTATTGCCGTTCCTCCTTTCCCCGCCAAAGCAAACAAACCCTCGAGGCCTCTAACAGCCACGGCACAAACGGGGGCTTTGGTGTCCCCCCCCACCCCCGGGGTGGGGAGGCACAGGCCCCTGAGCTCCCTCCCCGAGTCAGGCCGCTGTTGGGTTCCGTAGGGCTCTTGTCCTGCTTTTTACTTTTAAAAAACCTACATTTCTGTGATGCATACATTCTCTTATAATAAAAAATATTCGCAGAGACAAAAAGCGGTACACGAGGGCACAGACCGAGTCTGATGGGATCAGGGAGTTGTCCCCTGCCCCCCCCTTCTGCAGAATAGGCCAGCGATGAAACTGAAGGGCATGTTACTTCATTAACAGCTTTGATGGCCACTTTTTAAATTGTCAGCATTCCCCAGATTAAAGAAAAATTAGAGTATTGGCAGCAGGACTTCTTAAGCTTGTTTTCCTAGCAGCTGAAGGATTTCTACATACATTCCACACAAGTTTCATCAAAAGTTTCTCTCTTACTTTCTGAGGCCAAACAGAAACAAAAAAAAAGTTGTTTTCTTGTGATTTTTGTCAAGCGGGGATTAGCAGCATACCAGAAGAAGTTGCAATAATGTTGTCATTAGCCGTGATGGTCCAAACGAAGCAAGGGCTGGAGGAAGATGTGACGTCTGCGCCGGACCAGCTGATCCAAGGGGGAAGAGAAGCCAACCTCCTTTGAGAGCAAGAAGAAATAAACAGCTGTTCACATGTGATCCCTCTGATTCATGCCTGCAACGCCTTGCGAAACGTTCCAGCAGCAGCGAGACTCTCTCTCTGCCTCTCATCTGTATCTCGGATGATGTTTAGCACCTGGAAGCCATACACTCAGCCTACCTGGATGCAAATCACAGAATCACAGAATGCTGTGGGGTTGGAAGGGACCTCTGGAGATCATCTAGCCCAACCCCCTGCCAGAGCAGGTCCACACAGAGCAGGTTGCACAGGAACGTGTCCAGGTGGGGTTTGAATGTCTCCAGAGAAGGAGACTCCACCACCTCTCTGGACAGCCTCTTCCAGGGCTCTGCCACCCTCAAAGTGAAGAAGTTCCTCCTCATGTTTAGGTGGAACTTCTTATATTCAAGTTTGTGCCTGTTCCCTCTTATCCTGTCCCTGGGCTCCACTGAAAAAAGACACCCCATCTTCCTGACACCCATCCTTTAAATATTTATAAGCCTTGGTCAGATCCCCCCCTCAGTCTGCTCTTCTCCAGACTAAAAAGACCCAAGTCCTTCAGCCTTTCCTCCTAAGAGAGGTGCTCCAGGCCCCTCATCATCTTTGTAGCCCTCTGCTGTTCCCTCTCCAGCAGTTTCCTTCTGGAAATGGGGAGCCCAGAACTGGTCCCAGTGCTCCAGATGGGGCTTCCCCAGGGCAGAGCAGAGGGGCAGGATGACCTCCCTCAACCTGCTGGCCATACTCTTCCTGATGCAACGTTCGAACCTGTCTTGGCCCTTGTGTATCTGTACTGAGATGGCAGCTGGCAGCTGCCCTATGCTGTGGGTTTGCCAATGATGGGGGTGCCTGATGGGGGGCAGGGACAGCCCCACGTCTGCAGCTGCAGCTGCAGGAGCTGGAAAACCCACGTCCAGCATGAGCCAGAGCTGGAGGTGCAGGCGGCCGGAATGTCTCTGCTGAGGCTCTTTGGCTGGAAGCGCTGTAGCATTGTAGTCCAAGTCATTTGACTTTCATGAGTCAGAGTGTATTACACAAAAACATCCTGCGAGGAGGGAACGGAGGATGAATTCCAGACACTGACCTTAGACAACAAACAAAACCCACTTTTTTTTTTTTTCCCTTGTTTTAGGGAAGAGGGGGAGGGGAGCTCTTCCACCTCAGACGGGATGCAGGCTGTGGATCAGGCTGAAACTTGGCATCATCAGGCTGTCTGCCATCACTGCCATTTATTCCCGATGCAGTAAAAAAAAGAAAGATACTCCATACTGCAGAAGAGCTCTGGGTTTATCCCCAGGAGCCGGCAAAGACCCTTCTGCCCACCCTGAGATCTCCTGTCTGTGCTGTCCCCACCTTCTCCACCAACCCTGCTGCGCAGAGGTGACACTCCAGGCTGAGCAGCACCACCCAGAGCTGTGGCTACATCCAGCTTTTCTGCCTGAAAACCAGCAGCAAGGAGAAGACTTTGGAGAGCCAGTTTCCACAGGGGAGTTATTTGTCCCCAAGGCCACAAAAGCCTTCGGTGTGGGCAGCTGAGCTTGAGCGGCTTTGCCTGGTCGTGAAAGCTTCCTCCCCACCGTCAGTCCTTTGGGGCACAGCCGTGCTGTGAATGCCTGCCTTCAGCGGGCTGCACGAATGAAAGAGCAGTCACCCTCCATCTCTGCCCAGTCACTGAGGTTTCTTTCAGCACTGGAAAACAGGAAACTGGGTCACGGCATGGCCCGGCCGAGCGCCGACTCCTCCATCTGCCACCGCCAAACCGGGGACGTTCATCAGAGGCCTCTGTCTCCCAGCTGGGAGGGATCTGCTTGAAGAAACGGGGACGGCAGCCACACGCTGTTCAGCCCTTGCAAGCACGCATCGCCCAGGGCTTAGCTTTGCTCAGGGTCCATCATTTAAATCACCAGCACAGAGTTAGGCATTGGGAATTTCTTCTTAGATGGATTTTGTAGAGGTGTTTGAGGTGCAGCAAAGTAAAGCCTTGGCACACAGACTGCTGGGTTTGATTTGGGGTTGGTTTTGTTTTTTTTTTTTTTTGAGGTGTTCAGGTGCCTTAACCTCTTGGAAAAAAAAACCCACAGCCAACTCTTCCACCTTTTGGAAATGGCAGCAGAACTCTCCCTAACGTCAGAACCAAGGCTCTGTCAACACAATGCGCTGATTGTGTTCGGCGCTGACCTTTTCCAGCCCAAATCCCACACTGTTTGGCTCCACAAAAATGCTGCCTTTTGACTAGTCCTTCAGACAAGAAAAAAAAAACAAAAAACAAAAAACAACTGCAAAGAGCAGAGCTCTGAGGAGAACGAATGGAGGAGGTTTAATTTTGTACCGGGTACCCTGCTCGCTTCTGCCAGCGCCCCAGTTCCCGGGTTATGGAGGGATTTCCAAGGATTGTGGCCGGACACATCCTGCTGTCGAGCTGAGCAGCCTCTCTGGTGCTGAGTGTCCCTGCTCTCTCCGGCTGTGGGCCATTAACCTCCAGCTTCCCAGAGCCTTCCCTCCTGTTTTCCCTCACGTTTTCCCTCGCCTTGGCCCCTTTTCCCCTCGCCTCCCCCGCGCTTTCCAGCTCGTCATCTCTGATCTTTTCTGAAGTGGAAAGTAAATCAGGGCTAAGTGTCAGACTGTCTCATTTTGAAGACTGATGTGCAAATAAAGGCTTTCCCATCCTATCTTAATAATGTCATTAAAGCAGTGTCAGTAGAAATGTTCTCGCTCGGCAGCATATGCTGGGGAGGAGCTCAAGTGGGAAAGGCCCTGAGTAAACACAGAATGATGGAAAATTATGTAACTGGCCCAAATGGGCTAATTAAATTTCCAATATCAAAGGACTGTTCTGCTTTACCTGGTAACTGCAGGCACTCTGTGCAGGGCAAGGAGACGAGCGGAGCCCGGGGCGCGTATTTAGTGCAGCATCATTAGCCGTGTGTAGGTGGAGAGAGGAAGGTGGATGACCTTGTGGGAAGCGGCTGCGAAAAGTCAAGCTCATTTCCTCAGAAACTGTGCCAGGGAACTCCGGCACCCCGGGGACCTCCCTGCACAAACAGCATCATCGTCACCAGTGGCAGGAAAGCCACCCTGCAGGTGAAGCACCCCCGTGTCTGCCGGCTGCACTGACCTCCTGGGAGCCTCCTTGCTCCTCGGCGGAGCCCTTGAGGAGAACTTCTCAGCCTAAAGATTTCCAGTCGTGGCACTCGCCAGTGCTTGAAGGATCTGCCAAACCATGGAGCGCATCCAAGAGGCTCTTCCCATCCAGCTCCTCTCGGGGTGACTGTCTCCCCTTGCAGCTCCTCCACCGTTGATCCGAAGCCCCACTCCCAGACCCGGCCCCATGCAGTTAGTGGGATTCACAGGACCTGAAAGGAAATGTTAAAAAAAAAAAAAAAAAGGCCCTGTTCCAAACAGTGTGAAGCTAAGGGTAAATATGGGCACAGTAAATACTGTTTTGTAATGGTCAATATTGTTTTCCAAAGGTTGGGTCTGGCAAATGCTGGATGTGTGAATCTAATATTCCTTTGCTTCTTGTAAAAAGGGCTAATTGTCACTTGGGTGTTTATCTTCATCAGCTAAATGGTTGTGAACATAATTTTGATTTTTTTTTTTTTAACTGATCGTGTAAGAATCGTTGCGTAGACAGTTGGTTCTTGGACACTTGCAGGGAAACATGCCTCTCTCTCACCCTGCCTCGGGTTTCTGCCCACGGGGAGGAGGAAGCCAGCCCTGCCCTGGGCTTTGAAACCAGCCATGGGCTCCATCACCAACCACAGCTATTTCAGCAGCCACACGGACTCCTCTGAAGATCAGTCTTTTTCTTTGTTTGAAGTCCAGATTTTGGTGCCCGTGACTATAATTTCCATCATCCTGTTTTTCTTGGGGGTCTCTGGGAATGTGATGACCATAGTCATTTTCAGCCGCTCGCAGGAGATGAGGACGACAGTGAACATGTACCTGTCCAGCATGGCGCTGTCAGACACACTCATTTTCCTTGGCCTGCCCTCGGATCTCTACCGCCTTTGGAAGTACAAACCCTACATATTTGGGGATTTTCTCTGCAAGTTCTTCATTTACCTGAGCGAAACCTGCACGTACTGCACCATCCTGCACATCACGACGGTGAGCGTGGAGAGGTACTTCGCCATCTGCTTTCCCCTCAAAGCCAAAGCCACCATCACCAAGTGTCGGGTGAAACGGGTCATCCTGGCCCTGTGGGGCTGCTCCCTCCTCACCGCCGGCCCCATCCTCTTCCTCTTCGGGGTGGAACACCCCAACAGCAGCCTGCCCCAGGAGAGCTGGGAGTGCAGGTCCATCGAGAGCGTGGCCCGCACGGGGCTGCTGGAGACCATGACCTGGGTCTCCACCATTTATTTCTTCCTGCCCATGTTCTGCTTGACCCTGCTCTACGGGCTCATCTGCAGGAAGCTGTGGCGGAGCGGGCAGCGGGCGCCGGGCTGCCAGGCTGCAGGCAGGAAAAGGTCACACACACAGACTGTCAAAATGCTGGGTAAGAGCAGTTTAAAAAAAAAAAACCTAATCGGAAGAGCTGCCCTCTTTAATCACTCCCACGGGGTGCGCGGCGACGCGGGGGGTGATGGAGAGGAGGGAGAAAACACACAGAGTTTGTGTGATTTAAGAGTTAAGTTCTCTGACTTAAAAAATCTGACTTTAACTCTGTATAACAGAGTTAAAATCAATGGATTTGCACTTAAATTGTGGTGAGAAGGGGCGTCTCTGAGCGCGGGGTGTTCAGGCAGGGGAGCTCTCTGCGTGGCAGGGAAGCAGAGCAGTGGGGCTTCGGGTTGCTTTGAGATCACATTCCTTGTATCCCCCCTGCCATCTCTGACCTTAAATTTACTTAATTAAAAGATTAAAATTAAAGAAATCGTGGGATTAAAAGTAAAACAATTGGAAAATTCTCTGACTTAAAAAAAAAAACCAGACTGGGCTCTTACTCTGCTACGGCAAGGAAAGGTTATTTCCCCTGCAAAATTTCTCCAGCTTAGTGACTACAGCTTTGCCCAGGATGGCAACAACCCACCTGCCTGGGCTTAGTCAAATGTGATCTATATGCTGTGCCAGCTGGTACCTCTGAAACCAGGAGGATTTGGGTCTCCCCTCCTCTTCCCCATCCCTCCGACCGCTCCCTCCCAAGCTCCCACCCCCCCACCCTTAGATCCCTGTCCCCAGGGAGGCAGCAGCACCCTCAGAACAGGGTACCACAGCCACCCCCTGCCTAGATTCCTGCCAGGTTTTACTTGCTAATTTCCCAGCCTTTTCCTCAGTGCTTTCTGGTTCCAGCTTGCTCCCCTTTTCCACCCCTGAGGAGCCCCCACCTCCCGTGTCCCTGCTGTCACAGGGGGCCAATGGCCACCAGCAGGCAGTAGCCCTTATTTTAAGTCCAGGCTGCTTTGCCCCCAGATTTGAATCTCTTACCTCCAATGGACAACGTGGGTGTAGAGGCACCTATTTTAATGCCAAATAATTAAATTTGTGTGCAACTGTCCTCATTGCTTGAGACTACTGGTAATCACAGCACAAAAGCAGTTTGGGGCACGGCAGGGCATCTTGGCTTTGCTGGGTTAAATTTAGCAACCTGGTGTCTTGATCCTTAAATAGTTTAAAGAGGCAGAATAAACTCTGCTGGAGATGACCAGAGTGTGCTCTTTACCTCTTCAGCTGTGGTAGTCCTGGCCTTTGTGCTGTGCTGGCTCCCGTTCCACGTCGGCCGAATCCTCTTCGCCCAGAGTCAGATCATCCTGTACGACCTCACGCAGTACTTCAACCTCATCGCCATGCTCCTCTTCTACCTGGGGGCTTCCATAAACCCCATACTCTACAACGTCATGTCACACAAATACAGGAAAGCCATGAGCAAAATCCTGCGCCACCAGCGACCTCGGCGCTGCAGGAGCCCGACCAGGAGCGAGAAGGTTTCTTCTGAAGGTACCCAACTGGGTTCTTTCATGTCAACTGTTCAGCACTGACTTTATTCTCACAACCCAGGCCTTTGGCCAGCAACGTTGTGGGCTAAAACCCACACAGACTGTGCACCTGGAGACTGGAACCAGATTTAAGACTGTCTTTTTGGCTACTATGTGTTTCCCGAGATGGGTTCAGAACTTTCCAGAAGGTTGGAGTCGACTCAACGTTACTCCTGCGCACACAGGGGCAGGCACGGGGGAGCCCGGGCTCTTCTCTTCAGTGAACTTACCAGCCACAGTGTCCATGGAGCTCCTGTGGAAGGATTTGTTTCCGTTTTCAAGGACCAGACATTTCATTAATCACAGACCTGTGAAACAGAATTCAAGTTAATTTCTTCCCAAAGAAGCCAAGAGAGAAAGTAGAGGCTAAAGCCAGGCCGGCTGTTTGCTCTCAGCAAGCGAGCATAAGAAACACACTCTGGAAGGTAAAGTGACAAGAAATTACTCACTTAGTGGGACTAAGAACATGTTGCCTTCTTCCTACAGACTGATTTATTGCTCACCCTCCAGGTTTCTCGAGTCACTTCCCTCATTTTCAGTCTTTTATCTTGTTCCTTATTCAAACTCCCCCCAGCTTTCCACAAGGTCAGATTCCATCTCAAGGGCAGAAACCAGCCTGGCCTTTAGAGCTCCTCTGAAGGGAGCGGGGACAAAAGACACGTGGGCAGTGGCTGGGGAGGGGGGCACGAGAGGGAGGCATTTGCCCATCTCCTTTGGTTGTAAAACGGGCAAACACGGGGTCCAGATCACCAGTTCATGGGCTGGAGGGGTTCAGGGCCAGGTTGGACAAGGCTTGGAGCAACCTGGTCTGGTGGGAGGTGTCCCTGCCCAGGGCAGGGGGGGTGGAACTGGATGGGCTTTAAGGTCCCTTCCAACCCCAACCATTCCGTGATTCCATGAAATAAAAAATAATAATCATAAAAATATCTTTCTGGAAGAAAAGTCAAGACAGCTCTTAACAACAGGGAGTAACAATGCTAAACAGGCTTCTTCACCTTAAATTATAACTACACAAACAAACTGCTCCCAAAAAAATCAACTAAAAATGAAAATCCACAAAACCACACACAACCCCAGAGTCAAATTTGAATACATTTGTATTATTTATTGGCTGTATTAAATATATTATCTATTTGATAGTTACAATTTAGTAATACAATGCATGGCAGCTTTAACATAAGTTTGAGATACCTCAAAATGACAATACAAGAAAAACTGAAGATACCTAAATACATTAATGCCACGAGGGTACATCGGTCTGGAATGGATAACAGCTGACGTCCAACCTGTACTGCGGGAGGCTTTCACCAGTATTTGCTGGAAACATGACTGTTTTGTGGCAATCACAAGTTTCTTTCACTTTTTAGGAGTCGTGACTTGTTAGTATTTACTCTGCAACCCTAATTCATCTTTTTTAAAAGTATCAGAAATATTATTGCCAAATAAACCTCTACAAACTTCGTTCTAAGAGTTAAAGAAATAACCCTTTGGCAACAGCGATTTGCTGAAGGCAGTCTTATTTGCTAAAAGTAGGCTATGAGGAGAAATAAAGACAGATTGTAAACTCTTCTGCAAACTAAAGACTAATATCTGTATAAAACTCTTTCCAACGCTGGAGGGAGAGATTTCTATGATATAATAAATGATTAACTTAAAGTTCTGCTACAAGTAGAACAATACATTCAAACATACATTTATTTTTTTTTTTCCAGGACTTTTAATCAAAAATAAATAGAGTACAAAATGAAGAGTACATTTTGAAAAGATTAATTTCAGATTGCACCATAAATCTACTTTTAAGAGTATTAAGCGATACTATGTCATAATTTAGGTATTTCCACATCTGAAATACAACACAATGCCTCAAACTATAACGCAACACTATTCATCAACTGCCAGAGGAGAAAGACCCTTAAAGTGATTAATTACTGGAAATACTTTGCCTGTAGCACTATCACATCCAACATTCCACGTACAAGTGCATTGCTCTGATGTATATAAAGTGTAGCCATAGTCTTTGCAAAAAATACACTAAATTGACCTTCCTATGGCAAATTCCAAACGCTATTGGGAAGACCCATTCTGAAACGTCTCGGAAACTTGGGAGTTCCAGCTTTTCCAAATATTTCATCTGGAGAAGACAGCTCTCAGGCTCATCTCTAGGTATTTGCCAGCAGATTTAACAAGAACAGTCGTATGTAGTGCACAGTGTCCC